GAAATGGCAACGGTGCACCACCAAGTTCTAGCTATGGTGTACCAAGCAATGGTAATGGAAATGGCAACGGTAATGGAAATGGGTCTCCGCCAAGTTCTAGTTATGGTGTACCAAGCAATGGTAATGGAAATGGCAACGGAAATGGTAACGGAAATGGAAATGGGTCTCCGCCAAGTTCTACTTATGGTGTACCAAGCAATGGTAATGGAAATGGACACAGAAATGGTAACGGCAACGGAAATGGTTCTCCAAGCTCGAGCTACGGTCCTCCAACCAACGGAAATGGAAATGGTTACCCAAGAAACGGAAATGGTAACGGAAACGGAGCTCCTCCAAGCTCTAGTTATGGTCCACCAAGAAATGGCAATGGAAACGGCAACGGTTATCCAAAGAACGGTAATGGAAATGGAAATGGAGCTCCTCCAAGCTCTAGATATGGTCCACCAAGCAATGGTAATGGAAACGGCAATGGTTATCCAACGAATGGTAATGGAAATGGAAACGGCAATGGTTATCCAACGAATGGTAATGGAAATGGAAACGGCAATGGTTATTCAAAGAATGGTAATGGAAATGGAAACGGCAATGGTTATTCAAAGAATGGTAATGGAAACGGAAACGGAAATGGTGCTCCCAGCTCGAAATACGGGCCGCCATCCAATGGAAACGGAAACGGTAAAAACGGCAACGGAAACGGTATCCCAAGCTCCAGCTACGGTCCTCCAACCAACGGAAATGGAAATGGTTACCCAAGAAATGGCAACGGCAATGGCAACGGAAACGGAAACGGAAACGGCAATGGTAATGGCAACGGAAACGGCAATGGCAATGGTAACGGAAACGGCAATGGATCTCCAAGCACAAGTTATGGTCCACCATCCAATGGAAATGGTTATTCCAAAAACGGAAACGGCAATGGAAATGGTAACGGAAACGGTAATGGTAACTATACCAGTGCAAGCAAAAAGCTCGAATCGGAACTACCCCTTAGACTGGGTGGTGATGGTGTTGGTATTTTTGATACAACAACCGGTTCGAGCTATTTGCCTCCCACTACCACTAACATAATTCTAAAACTCTTTTCTTATTGTTAAGACACAAAACTTGTTTATCCTGCTTCACTTGTTCAATGTTGTCTGTTCTAATTATTAGGTAATAGTTACTTGCCGCCCTCTGGAAATTACGGTCCACCAAAGAACGGTGGAGGAGGAGCACCACCACCACCAGTTTATGGACCACCCGGAGCAGGAAACGATGAGGTGAATTTCATTAGCTCTTATCAATTAGCTATAAAACTTAATAAATTATTTTAGGATGCGAAATATCAATTCGAATGGGCAGTTAAGGATGATGAAAGTGGCAACGACTACGGCCAGAAGGAGCAGAGGGATGGCGACAAAGTGACAGGAGAGTACAACGTCCTTCTTCCCGATGGCAGGAAACAGACTGTCGAGTACGAGGCGGACCAAGATGGTTACAAACCTAAAATCACCTATCAAGGTAACTAATTTCTTATTAATACACAACAAATATCCATAAATGAAAATTGTAACTTAGATACCGGAAAAGCGATCGGAAGCGGGAAAGACAACGGTGGCTACCAGTACTAAAACCGGACACGACCTATCGCTGCTCACAGGGTACGTGATGGCCGCCTACGCAAATCTCGAACCCCACATATTTGTTGTTGCGAGGGAAAATGAATGAGGAAACAAAACCCACTCAACTTTAGCTCAAATAACACATCCTCCTTATCCTGTTAATTATGGAATTAACGTCCCACTTTGTAAATACTCTTCTTAATAATTTATTTAATAAGTAGTCGTTAGTAGGAATTCTTCACTTCACATCACCTCACACATTTAATTCTAATTTCTTTCAATTAAAACAAAATCCAACAAAAAAACAAATGGCGAAAGAAAAGATACGTTGACGACCAAAGGCTTTGGATTCATGGACTAACTCTACCTTCTTTTTATATTTTACCATTATATCTCTTCCTTCCCTCTATATATTTTTGTTTACTCTCTAATTACGTGTAATTATATTGTATTATTAATAAATATTTTTTTATTAAAATTTCACATGTTTTATATTCTTCAACCCAATATCCCACAGCACTAAAATAAACAACTTTCATAAAAATACATGGTGTTTTAAATGTAAGTATTATAAAGGTAATTAATAAAAAATTTCTGCCAAAGTCATTAATAAAAATACATTTATTGGTAAGTAAATATAACAAAACATAAACTTCGATATATATTTTTTTCACATGGCAAGATTATGGAAAAGGTAAACATTGTTAAAAAAAATATAAATTATTTTAAAGCTATTATGCTTTTATCATACGACCTCGCTACCTCGCTATACGACCTCTCTTTATATGGTTTTTCACCATAACGGCCATCTTTAATTATAGTACTTTTTCGATTTATGGCGCAAAATGTTTCACTTTATGGCCAACTTTTCCGAAACGTATCTAGGCTGTAAAGCGAGATATGGTTGAACTTCTAATGAAGCTTTGGCGGATGCGCAAGGTACATAAAATAAAATTCTTGTTATAAATATAGTCTTAGTCAGAACGAAGAACTATTTTTTTGTATGTTGAACTGCACAACGAGAAATTTGTATAAATATATTTTTACTATTTTTTAGAATTTATTTTAATATTTTCAAAACGAAATCCGGACTGATCGAAACACCTCATGCGGGATATATTTTATTCTCATTTTACGAATAAGAGATACAATTTAAGAATTATTAGAATGAAGTTGTTTTTAATAGAAGAGGTAAAATGAGGTAATAATTATGCAGGTAGTTATAATTAATACTTCATTTTCAATTGATATAAACTGTAATTATATTTAATATCTTAACACCGGAATTAATTAGATATTGGAAGTTTCATGCTAATATAAAGCATTTTAACAAAAAAAAACCTGTAATCTTTTGCATAATTATATGACGATCCAATTCATTTATGCGTTTCATTTGGTCATCACAATGCCGAATGGTTAGACGCCCTACCCACGATTTAGTGGGCGCCGGTTCGAATCCTGGTCAAGCCTGGCCCTTTGTGAGCCTTCTCAGTGCTTGCAGCAATAGGGCAATCGTTCATCACAGATGGACAATGAAATGAATGAAGTTCAGCATATGGACCTTCAACCAAGTCAATGGACAATGACAGGGTTAACGATAGCAGCAGATTCACAGTGAAAGGAAATAGTGGAATCGCAGAGCATCAATGTACTACCTACATCAATACAAATTAAAATAAAAAATCATCATAATGGTAACTATCTACCGAGAAAGATTTCCTGTCTAATGTCAACCGCGATCTTAAATTTACTCAATGTTCACACTGATGAACAGATTGGATCAGAACGTTGGTTATCTTTGAGCATTAAATCTCCACTGCGGATGTATTTAAACCAATTCTGATACGTGCATTCTTCTAAATAATCAACATCGTATTACTTTGTGGGCTCCATTAACTTTCTTACCTTTACGGAAATAAAAAAGTAAAATGTGTAGAAGTTATTCTTTTATGCTCTTCTGTTAATATTGACCCTAAATTAACAGTTGCAAATAAAATTACGCACAATTGGCTTCGAAAAAAAAATAGAGTGACAACTTTTAAATGACGGAAGGAAAAAATCATAATATTGACAGAAGCCCTTCTAAACAAACATAGCACTATCTATTTGTGAAAATCGAATTTTCACTCTTGGCAACCTTATTAGCAGGTTATCAAGGTGCTAAAACGTTATTTTTGTTAGTAATACATGCAAATTGTTTTGTTTAATTAAATTGAAAATATTTGTTTAACATGTATATTATATGTGACTTAAGCCTACAGCAGATTCTTTCGATTGTGGAAAACATTAACTCAGGTTTATGTCATTCTATACACGTTAGTTCTCGCATGTGGAGAAGCCGTCTCGGTATTACAACACTTCATCGATATTATTTATTATTATTTTCTTTTAACGCTGTTTATGTCTATAAATATATGGGTTACGAAACGGAAGATCTCTATTACACACGAAGAATTATAATTGATTATAATAAATACTATTGGAGAGAGATCAATTCATTTCAGCGTGTAATATTAATATTTTTAATATACTTATGTTGCTTGTTGGAATGAATATCATCACATCATATAAGAGGGTTGATTTAAATAGATTTGTATTACTATTACTTATTATATAAACATTGATTGATTATGCATTTATTTTTTCAATATTTCTCAGTAACGTAACATTAACAATAAGTATGATTTATCATTCGCCTTTTCAAATAAAAAAGAAATTGTACAATATTAAAAAAAATGGAAGTTAACAACATGAAAAATATACCAAAATAATTTAACAGAAATAGTTGAAGTGCATTTGCACAAACCAAGAGACTAAAATTAAATTCTCTATAGAAGTCTTACCTGGAAAGACTACTGATCCGAAATTGTAAGACAAACCGAAATCGAAGTTGGAACGATAAATATTTACTGGGAAAGTTACCAGAAACCGGAACAAAATTAATTTCGGTTTGACACTCTGAAAAGAACACAGTATTTTGAGACTTGTGTATCCAGTGTTAACAGAAAAGTCCTGAAATACATTTTGCACTTTCCAACTTTATGTCTACATGAAGTTGTTTTTTCTCCTTTTGTAGGTATTAAGTAAACCGTATCTCAAATTTAAATAATCAACCATGGAATCAAATTATGATGATCTGTCGTCTCAACATAAACAATTTCATCTTATGATAGTGAATTTTATTTATAATATAATTTTTGCTTATTTTTATATTTTGTTATGAATTAATTTTATTTTTCGAAAAAAAAAATATATTTTGATTGCTATTAATGTATAAGCATTTTTTTTACGATTATAGAAGGAGTACACAGTTGTCAAAAGTTTGGGAAAAACTGCCATATGGATATGGTAGACTATACCAGGAAAAAATACAATAACGTTAGTGGTAAATAAATGACAAGAACAATAGATTGTTATGACTCGAGAATGGTACTCGAATGAAGTGTTTTATGACGACATCCATGACGCGATACATCTTCAATATTTTACTGCACAACACCTGTCCGTGTTTAATGAAATGCAAATTATGAAAGTGATGATTCCAATTTATAGCCGGTAATTTGCCTCTTACACCGATCATTAGCGGTCAAACTATCAATTAGTGTTAAAACAACTTCCCCTGTTTGTTATTCATTAAGAACGTTATTACGTAAACTAAGGCTTAAACAATTGAACATTAAGTAAATTAGTTCACGATTGAGAATTAATGGATTTTATTGCACGCAGGTAGTTTTCTTTTCGAGCTATCCATTGAAATATTATATAATCTTGAACACAATCTATCCCAGGAGATGGAAATTTTCCACAAGGATTAAGGATTATTATAATAATTGTGTGATAGTTATTTCGAATTTATTTTGCATAATTAAAATTTGGTTTGTTTTATAATTTCCAAACTGGAACACTATAATCCGTACTGATGTTCATATTTTATTGGGCGCGACTAATGGTTAAGTCGACCTATCCACGATCAAAAATAAAAATCAAAAAAAATATCATAATGGTAACTATCCACCGGGAAACATTATCCATTTAATGTCAACAACGATCTTAAATTTACCAATGTTCACATTGATAAACAGATTGTGACATAAAAAATATTTTATTGCATTTTCAACGCTTTTACAGAATTAATTTCAAACAGAAAAACAGAATTAAACAAAAAAAGGCCGTTTATAAAGTATATAAAACAAACTGAAAGATTTTCATACAGATATGTACATTAGTTATTACTAAGGTAAATATAAATTTACTTTGATTTATGCTAACGATCTTGCTACATTTAACATTAGAAGAAAGAAAATGAAAAATAACTGCCCTCAAATAGGTTATTTGAATGGTTTCATTATTATCAGTTTTTTAAAACTAGTTTATTTATTTCTAATTTATTCCAAACAGTCCGTGATATTGGTGGAACCTAATAAGCGGACTATGCGAGGTATTGAAAATATCTCTTGAAAGTATCTATTGAAAGTATAAGAAATCAAAAGACATTACATGAATTTCAAAAAAAATGTAGTTGTTTTCTGTCTCTCATGTAATTCAATTTGTTAGTAGAATATAAATGGCAACGAATGATTACAAATTCAAAGAACAGCATCGTCGGATGAGGATCTAATGATTGTTCGTTGCGGGAGACAGCAGAAGGTCGCTGAAAAAGGCAGTTCAAGAACGACTGAATAATCGAAGAGATCAATTACGCAATGGAAGAGAAGCGACGAACAAGAAAGAGGAACATACTATAAAAGAAGTGTAAGTAAGTTAGTGGAAGATGCGAATGTGGAGCATCCTTCACTTTCATTCCATAAATCGAAAGATGTAGCAGACGAGATTCGTATAAATACTAGATGCGATCGCTGCTCATATTCATTCGTCGTCCAACGCTCTTCGAGATACTCCAACTCTCAACATTCAAATATTTTAGATAAAAAATTGCATTAAGATGGTATATTTTATGTATTTTTTTTTATAAATAAATGTTTACAAAACTCATTTAATTTTAAATTATTGAAATATTAAGAAATGCAGAAATTAAATAGAAATAATATTACAAAAATATCTACATTATTACGTATAAAATATAAGTAATTTAATTAAGAAATGCAAATACTTAAATAAATAAAACAATTAATTTTATTAGTTTTTGGTATGAAAGTAATTACATTTCTTCAAGCAAGTCAGAATTTATAACTGTTCTGTAAACTGTTGACTCAATGGTTTTATCCACAAAGATTAAGCAAAGAAAAA